TGACAATAGATCCCTAATAAATGCGATCTCAAGCTAACAGTCAAACTAATCAAGTCTTTCCTCAACAAGAATGGGCGGAAAACGCGGCGATTTGGGGGTATACTACCTAGAATCATTAGGTTATGTCGTCACTGTCTTGGCTGGTCTTCAGTTGGCGGCGCACTGGGGGCTACCGGTTGTTGGCCTTGTCGCGCGGTAGGTGCAGGAGTAGTTATAGAGAGCGGTTCCTTGAACTGGGAGGTAGCAGGTGTCTCGCGGCCACGGTACGCCCTATTGCAGGGGTAAGCGACAAAGATAATCCATATACCAGTTGGTAGTTATTGCATGGGGCTGAACTTACTGGGTAGCCTTATCCTCAATCGCTTCGTACAGCTCAACCAATTTCATAACCTAATCAAATGTATGTAAGTCCGCCTCTCAGCGCTCAAGGTGGAATCTTACCCCCTCCTTGATCTGGTCTCCAGAAGCCGAACCAGCCTCCTTGATGAATAGCCGGCACCGAGCTATGAATTTCTCTAGATCCTTGGCGTGTGTTTCCGCGAGTTCAGGTTGATTCGTGCCCTGTAAACGGATGAGGTTATACCAACATCATGTTATGTTGAGAACGTACCTTGGCCCGTGCGACCAAAGACGCAGTTACTGTTGCTAGAGCCCCCAAAACCACACTAGCGATACGGGTCTGAGAGGCGGAATGGTTAGTCGCGTACATTTGTTAGAGTAGAAACCTGAGCAGCGTACTCTTGGCGTTGGCTCCAGGGAAGTAACAACAGTGACCAGCGCGCTGAAAATGACTTGCAGAATGATAATAACGTTCAAGCCTGTTAGGTGCATCGCCCGGTTAACGGTTCATTCCTGGTTAAACAATTGCTGTACGTACTCCACGCGATCAGTTTGGCTGTTGTATAGTTCGGATATCCGAATTCGTGGTTATTACGTGAACATCGGGCCCCTTTTATAGGAATTTCCTTACCTAGTCTGTACTGGTACTTTTGCTTCGAGACAGCCATGTCGAGATAATCTTTCAGCAGCTCCTCTGCTGTAAGCCCTGAGCCGTCCTGAGCCTGCATGGACCCATCAAGTGGCAGTTCAGAGCAGATTTGAACTAGATTTACTTACCGGGGGCTCATCAAGTACTCGCAACTTGATTGATTCAGGGCGAGATTGAGCCATCGAGAAGCAGGCTCGTCGTGGAGGGGAGGGAGAGGAGGGAGAGGGCGGGGCGTGGTTGAAACGCGTCGAGAGCCGCCCTCGGCGTTGATTTATGTAAATCAGGAACACGCCCCGAGCATCATGGTGCCACTAGATATAACGGGTCAGAAGTTGAAGGCTCAGCGTTGAACGGCGTGTGCTAGCCAGTGCACGCATGGTGCGCCGGTAATGTGGAGCTCGTTGGTACATGCCCGAATAGGGCTCGAGTCTGAAAGCTCAACCAAGTTCCCGAGCTAACCATATTAAGATCGCCTATGCTCACTAGCGACGCTCTCCTGTAATTTACAGACTCAAGTATGCGTCAATACAAGCCATTGCACTGCCCTAGGTATAACCAATCGCGTGCGATCCAATTCCCGTCGAAGATGTATTTGTCAGTGTAGCAAAAAGATGAGACGTGTAAAGACATTCAGACGGTGCGATGAGAAACCTTGATATCACTCGACTTCTCGTCAGTTGCATGATCAGGATGGTCATGGTGAGCATTCAGTTGGTCATCTCCGGATATGTGTTCGTCGAGCATGGTTTCTGTGGGGGGGAATAACTTGGAAGCCGCAAAATAGGTCACCCCAGCGAGGGAGAACTATGTACCCTGTTAGCAGTTGCTCCAAACCAGAACGAGGCTAGAATAGGGTGTACATACCCCCAGCAACCAGGCAATGCTGTACAAGTGCTGCGCGCCAGCACCAACAGAGATTTTGGGGTTGATAGAGTTTATCAGGCCTGGACATGACTGTCGTAAGTGGGCTACTTAAATTATTCAAACATCGTCTTACCAGGCAAGTTAGGAGGAACAGAGACAACCAAGGCGAGCAATGCCCTCCAGTTCTACAGGTGTGTTAGCGCCGGTTGGACAAGAGAAATGGTCTGAAACTCACAACTCCACGGGTGTATCGATACCGGCCATCAAAGTTATACAGCGCCGGGACGTCGATCTTGCCCTTGTGTACGAACCAGTACTATGATATAATGCAGTTAGTTGAGGAGTTTCGAGAGCGTCTTGTCCACTTACGTCGACAATCATAATACTGCAGATCGGGCCCAAAAACACGGTATAACCTCCCATAAAGTTCAGGAATCCAATTGCGCTCCCTGCTCGTGGAATTGTAGATCGCCGCAAATGGAATGATCAAAAGTTTACGAACCTAGGATTTCCCATGGGCAGATAACCCACCCACCGATGAACGCACAAAGGATTTGCCCACGACGAATATTTAACCACTATACAAATTGTGTGTTAGCAGGTCCACGGGCTATTGAGTGTTCATAATTTACCCTTGGCAAAAGCGCGGTAAAGTCATTTGCAGCGCTGATTGAGTTGGCCGACACATTGGTACCAATAGTTGCTAGGCAGAAGGCAAAGGATGCGAAGAACGCAGCTGCGCGGTTGTCCCAACTATGTACGGGCAAGGTTGGCTATGGATGTGTGGTTTCCGAGTGAAGGAACGCACCGATCAATCAGAGTAAGTGGGTCCCAGAGTATTTCACCATAGATAACGTTCCCAGCACTAGTAACTAGAGTCGAAAGGTAAGACAAACAAGACTCTTTCCGCCGAGAGGAGCTTACCAGCAATTCCCATAAATGCGAAAAAGGTAAAAATCACTAAAACAATACGGTCAACTTCTCATTTACGAACGGAACACAAGGACAAACCAGGAATGACTAGAACTTGGATATACTGGTCGCGCGGGCTACGAGCATAGCGCTAACAGGGAACTCAGTAGTCGGCCACAAGGTAGTAAATCGTCATGAACGTACAGTAAAGTCGGGAATGTTCACGGAGAGCGTCTAGGAGAAGTTAGCTAGGAGCGTCTTCCTATCAGCAGCCAGAAAAACATACAGCATAATTGCCAATGGCCGAATTCATAGCCGACAACATTGCTGGCAGGGTATGAGTAAAGGGCCGTTAGTTCTGGGAGATTCAGCACTTACCCCAACTCAAGGCGGATCCAGAAATAGTTGCTTTCTGGGCAAAGATGGGCCCTCCTCCGGTGCGGACAAATCCCCATATCATCATCGAAAGGCCAGCTGCCGGTGCTAGTATGGCCTTGGCGATGAACAAGTACCGAATTTTGTGCGGGGAAACCAGGAGGAAAGGGAGTTGAATGAGCCAGTAGAGGAAGTAACACATTATTCCTACGAGTCTCCCCAATTTAACAAACAGCAGTCACAGACAAAGACTACCTCACCGACTGTAGTGATGTTGGCATTCGGGGACAAATGGTTGGGGATTCGCGCGGTTGAAGGCCAGATGGCTTTGAGCATTTGATAAACGCATTCGGACCCAGTATAACTGCGTGGATGCATAAATTGGTGCTTGGTGGAGTCTTCAAAAAAAAAAAAACCGGACTCACGACTGAATCGCAAACCAGAACATGGCCAGTACGACTCTGAACACACAAAGTCAAATGTGGGCACCGTAGCGGGCTGGAGATATGACATACCGGCTGACCACTGAGAAATATGAAAGCCAATAGCCGAACGAGCTACGATTCAATACCGGGAACTAAGGGGAAGGTTATCCAAGGACCGGTATGTTACTTTGTTCAACGACTCACTGGAACGTGAAGCCTTGCGCCAATCGTTCCGTTTGCCTATGATTCATACGTGAGTTCGAAACTACAACATTAGGATAGATTGGACCCACCGTTACAGCAAGTGCGATAATAGAATGACCTGATAAGCATGAGCTCCATCAGGGTCAAACAAGTTACAGCACAGAGTTTGGGCCCACCTATCGCAATGGCAGGGAGGGCCTGCTTCCAAGACAGGCCAACAGCAAGCATAGAAGATGCTGGGTTACGATATTAAGACTTAGTTAAAACTCTAACATTACTTAATATTCAGCATACCCATGTTCCACTATATATCTCCCTATTAGTGTGCTACCTCGGGCGAATGTTTGCGTTACTTACAGTAGCCACGTTGAACCCATCTGATAGCCAGTACGAAGTATAATCCCATATTGTCCATGCTATGGGTGAGGTTCGTGAGTGTCCAATGCTCAAGGACATCACTCGATCTTACTTCTCAGGTGGATAGGTACAGGATCCATATCTGTGTGTAAAATAAGTCGATATGCTGCATGACATCTAGTAGCCTGCTACACACCCTTGTTGCTCCATTTGTTACTCGGCGCAAACGAAGATGGTTCGGGCTGGAGCTCCCATGTTGAGCGCTTAGCCAGGTTCTTCAGCTTGCTGGCCATCGTGTACCGGTTGGAGCTGGTGGTGGTCGGAAGCAGGCTCCCAGCAATCGGCGTGCCTTGAGATATATATGTGGACCACTCGCTTGCATATCATATTCAGGCCGTATCGTCGAGGAATTCACATGCACCTAGCCGGGTCTCGCTAAGCGAATTCGATCACGGATTGGTACCAATTAGTATATCCTTATCTCGATATCTGTCGGGCTATGGCTGGGCGGAGCCCAGGGTACCTGGTGGGTGGATACGCGAACCCGGCGGGATGCTAGGGCTCGAGTGGAACCAAAGAAAGAAACGACGTACGTGCAAAAATCCGCACGAGGGCTGGTGGTCACGTGGTGCTGGCGCCTCTTCAGCACGTGTATGTCACCCACAATCTGCGGCGATATTCTGCACTTCTGAGAGGACAACCCCGTGGTCCGGTAGCCCTTGTAAAAGTAATTTTTCAGCTATAGTTTTGCGGCGAATACAGCCGAGCGGAGGATTGGAGTGTAGAACTCGTTGGACCTCGGCATCGCCGTGACCAGGTCCAACCCGAGTTGCATGTGAACAAGGAAGACGAAGAATGACTACCTGAAAAAAGAGCGACCAGTGCAGGACTCGAACATGCAATCTCCAGCTATAGGCATATAAACATACCGGAAACTGGCGCTTTGCCATTAAGCCAACCGGCCATGCTTGTTACCGCACCATCACAAATGTGGCTGTATAGTCCCATTATGCCCTCTTTCAACTTGTGCTCCCATTTTCGTAAGTCGGATGCCCCACATACATGTTTTCATTCGTGAGTATACCTGGTTTGCCCACTGACATGAATAAGGAACGAATGAAGTTAAGGAGGCAACTGTCAACTGGACATTAGCAACTGAGCACTGGTGGCAGTCTCTACAGGGATGCCCAACGGGTCGTGACTGCATAAACATGGATCTAGACTGCATTTAACACTGGGTTGAGATGATGGACTATCACTTAACTAAGGGAAAAGCAGGCAGGTGCGAAAAGCAACTCGAAGAAGCATGTCAGCCGTCGGCGGAGAGGAGTGCTATGGCTGCGATGTCATATGTAAGGCTCCGCACTTACCGGAGCCTTCACGCAGGTCACTGTTCAATCGGGCCCCCTTGGGGCCCCCAAAGGAGGGTACACACTAGGGACCCACGTGGCTCGGGGTAACCGGGGCACAAGGCCCGCATCTGGATCCATAGGACGGGGACACTTGGGTAGATTGTCGGACAAACTGGCAAAAGGAGGTCTCGGAGTGAGCAGAACAGACGTCACGGGGCAGATGCAAGTCTCCTAGCTGAGTTTCGGAAATGAAACCCTCGTGACACAATATAGGTTAGCCTTTCGCAAAACGGCTGAGAAACAAGCTTAATATACGCATATATACACATGTTGTGCAATAGACGCGGGCTCAGGTTCAGCGGGAACTAAACAGGCTTGGCCTGTAAATGGGAGAAAAGGGAAATCATGATCAAGTCAACTGGTGCAAGGAGTTGCCTTTGGTACTCACGATTAGGAGGAAGCGCTCATATTCATTGGGACAACGCTCGCAGCTCCCGTCGATCCATCAAAAACTAAAAAGTTGGAGATCGGAGGCTCCTTTGCCCCCAACGCCTTCAAGATGTCCTGGCCAAGGAACCCACCGACGATCGCACAAATGGGGCTAAACTCGTGCTTTGCAGTCGCGCAAAGCGAACTTTCGATGATATTAAACCATAGGCAAAATATCAACTGAAGAAAGCTACTCACTCCACGACGGCAGTTGAAGGAATGGGGTCCGACTGAGTGTTCACCCCAGCCGACTTGATCATCTCGGCCGCAATCTGACGGACTTCAGCTCCAGAATCAGGCCTGACATACGCTCGGTGCTGGGATTCCCACTCCCACAACGCTGGTTGCTTAGGCTGTCAGCTGGAGCTCTACCGGAACATACCGCAGCGAGCTCACCTAACACTGAGAATACCGCAGAAGGGTTCAGTTCTTTTGTTTGGCGCTTGGCAAGGCCTTTCCAGGAGTGACCGAAACTTTCGCGTAGTGAGGAATAGGTCACTGATTGCTTCGTCGTCTTGGCCGGCCCACCGCTAGCTGCAGTGCGATCCCTGAGGCACATGGGGCACCATTCTCAATACGGAAAGGAAAGAAGACGTACTGTGCGAGGTACTCGTGTACAAGCAAATCTGCAAACACAAACCCGAGGATCCCATATGTCCCTCCAGCATAGAAGAGTTTGTTCGAGCGGCGACACGCATCGTTTAGACGGAGCTACAAAGCGTGGTAATTAGACAGCTAGCTGCGGAACAAGAACAAACGCACCATCTCATCCTTCTGGCAGTCGGTTACGCAAACAAGATCCACTTCCGCCAACGTAGCGTCTATTTGGCCATTCGACAGACAACCGACGTCGGAGACGGCTACAACGTTCACCAAGGGGTTTAGACTTTGTATCTGGGGTTTAGCGGCCTCAACTCGCTTGCGTGTACCAACAAAGTTAGATCACCCCCGAGCGCTATGTACATCCTTGCTTACTGGTTGACCAACACTCCCTTCTGGGAAGAAGAACCCACAGCCCAGATCCGTCTCATCGACAGGCTTGTCGTCAACAATGATCAATTTTCCTATGCCTGCCAGAACGATATTTTTTATCGTCTCGGTTGCGACACCCTTGAGTCGGACCACGAGAACAGTTGCGTTTCGCATCCTTTGGAAACGTTCCCATTAAACAAGAAAAAAGGCGCAAAGCGGTTTACTGACTTTTGTTGAGCATCCAAACCCCAGAGTCGGATCTGACGATCATATAGAGCTGCCTCATCTGCGACACAAGATCGTTGAATTTGTCAAAGCAGCAGTGGCACAACTGACATACCCTCCGTAATAGGCACCTGCACCTTCTCCTCCCCGTCGCGGTCCATGTTCAAGTCGGCCATAACAAGCTGAGCTGAAAGGCTTAGTTAGAGAAAAAAACGCTTGCAAGAGTCGTGTAGCACACGCGATGTCGAGCGCGCCACTCTGCACCATAGCCTCACGTGACCAAGAGTTCAAATGTTTTGTTCAATTGTGTTGTATTCTAACAGTCCCCGCGTCGAATGATACATAAAGCGAGAGTAAAGAGTACAGCGATTAAGAGAAACAAAAAAGCTCCATGGGTATACTACATCACGCTTAAGATAGCGTGCTCCACCTCTGCGGATGGACATGTACCAACGAAATGCATAGATACTCCACGAATCCCAAAGAAACATTTAGACGTTGATCGCCCCCGTATTGTCACTGGGCACGCCATCTTGCTCATCGTCGAGGCTGGATAGCGAGACTCGGTTATTATCAAATATAATCATCGGCTGAGCAAAAACTTACAGATAATTCCTTTCGATCTCCGAAAGAATCGACAGGAAGTCCCAGAGGTACGCATGCGCTCGCGCAGCCGATGCGGGCGCAGTCTCCGCTTTTCGAACGGCATCCAGTAGTGTGGACGCGACGAACCTGACCTTGTGAACGAGTGATGGCCCGTTGACAGCGATCGCTTGGATGGGAATACTAATATGGAAGTGAGTTAATGAACTCGGCGCGTGCGAAGGATCATCATACCTATGGAGCACGTTTAGCAAATCGCTAGCTACCTGTTCCTTGTCCTCGGATGTCCAGGTGCGAAGCGCTTCTGATTCAAAATTGTCGCCCGCTGATTGCCGCATGGAGGTCACCAGCTCATCCCGGTATTGCTCGATCACATAACGGACGAGTTGCTTTAAACGGACGTCAGCTCCGGTGGATGGAACAGCAGATCAGAATGGCTTACTTGAGTTACATAAAGATTTGCTTGCATAACGAGGTATGGGTTCATCGCGTCCACGCGCGAGGCGTTGGGGTTGTCGAAAAAGTCCTTGACCTCGGCGAATGCGGCTTTTCGGAATCCAGCTCCGCCATACTCCTCTTGTTGCCCAGTGATGGAGTTGTAGCTCACGCTGTTAGAGCCGTGACGACCTCCATTGGGTTTAAGCCGGAGCGCAGGCGGTGCATGCATGAGGGCCGAGCAAATGCGAGTGTGCAAACTGCGAATCTCCTCGAGGCGTGCGGTAGCAAACGGCCCTTGCGGAGGAGAGCGTTTGTCGACTCGAATGCGAACCAGGATCTCGCCCAGTAGCGCAAAGATACGAGAGATGTAATTGAGCCCGGAAACTATCGCAGTCTTGCCATGCGGCTGGGGCTGGATACCATTGATAGTGATACTGTGAGAGACCGGTTAGGCAAGAAGCAATATGCCCGGCTAGTTGCACGTACTACTCATCGTCGACTTCCTTGGGGAAGTGAAGCGTACAATCCTCGTCACGCAAACAGATTGGACGACCGAGCAGAATACTCATGCTCTTGTCGGCGCCAAATAGCAACCAGAACGTCCGTCGTCGCACCTCGCACTCGATAGGATCCAAGCCTTCGTACGAAGTCTCCTCGTGCATGTGCAAGGTGACTGCGATGTGAGCCGCCTCCCCGAAAGCAGCATGCGATGTAGCATCGTGGCCTTCGCAGAAATGATATACAGTGTCGCTACGAACGGAAAAAGGCTCAGCCAACGTATAAAGCACGGAATAAACCAAAACGTACAAGTACCGGATGACTACCATCATCGAGGTCGGAGGATCGTAAGACGCAACGCTAATGTGTCGGCTAGCCTCGTGACATGTCTGTGCCAACCTCCTGACCGAGGGTCGGTCCATGGGGATATAACTGCGAGGAGCTTGTACCAGTGTGCTAGCGACGGTCGACATCACAAGCGCAAAGAAGAGGGGATCGCGCTCCTCGCGGCGGCTCGCCAGATCGGCCATAAAGCTCGGCTTGTGAATGCAGGGCGTGAGCGGATAAACAAAGTCGAAGAATAATCCGATTATATGCATAATCCTCTCGCGCGGAGCAACACTGTCCAAGCGGTGAGGGCGAAAAAAGTAGGCCAGTGGAGGCAGAAGCGGGATTCCAGACGAATGTTGACTTCCGTAAGTATTAGGTTTGTATGGCATGTTCCAATTATAAAGCGGGTAGCTGTTGGAGAAGGATGCCTCCAGATGAGCCTGAGAGTTGGCCGCCGTATCGGCGGTCCGAGGTCGACCCTCGCTGCCACCGTCCGAACCAGCGCCAGGACTCTGCCCAGTATGGTTGTAGCCCGTTGGTTGGAACTGATCCGCCGCTATCGGATAGCGTGAAGGGGGAAGTGCTACCGGCAGGGGTGATAAAGTTGCGTTGTACTCCATCACGGGCGATGTGGCCGTAGACATGGTCATCGGAACATGGACCGGCTGATCATTTACAGACGAAGGGACCGTCGGCTGCGAAGGAACGGACATTTGCGAAAGGCCATGTTGCTGTTGATGGGAGACGTGCGCGTTTACGACAGGGAGTGAAGTGGACATCCCGTCGGCCGAGGGAATGGCATTGTTCGCCTGAGCGGCCACACCATTAGGAGTCTGAGCTGCATTCCCTGCGGCGGCCGCTGCTTGCTGCGCGGCTAGGTTAGCGGCGGCAGCCTCTTGCAGTCGGCGTAGATATCTATCAATAAATGGTTAACACCATATCGAGATGAATACATTTCCGAAGAAGGATAGGCGCAGAACGGCATCAATCTTGGGGACAACGGCATGGCCGAGAGCTAGTGAGCGGAAAAATAGAACTGAAGAACATGATCTCGCGG